GTCTATCAAATTGAGGAAGTTTCCCTCTATTTCTTGTTTACTGAGAGTTTTTATTATGAATGGATGTTCTGCTTTATCAAATGCTTCTTCTGCATCTATTGATATGCAATTTTTCTTTTTAGTCTGTTGATGTGGTGGATTACATTTAATTGATTTTTGAATGTTGAACCAGCCTCACATACCTGGGAAAATCCCACTTGGCTGTGTTGTATAATTCTTTTTATACATCCCTTCCATATCTGAATCTGGTTCTTAAGCTTGCTCTGTCTTCCAGCTGTGTATTTTGCCCTTTAGTATCCCTTTTAATTCTTTTCTTGATAGTAGGACATCAGGTACTAGGCAAAAGGAATTGCTGTAAATAGGTCTTTAGTAATGTGCTAGTAAGTGTTATGCCCAGATTTCAAGATCCCCAGTAGACCACCAGGGAGCCAGCCAAGTCCGATGCAAAAGCAGAGAGTCTTTTATTATTATTACAGACCCGGGTCTGGCTCCCAGCCTCTACCGATGCAACGGCAAGACGAGAGTGTCCACCCGTGGGAAAAAAGGGGTTTTAATAGGGGGGTGGAGTGAGGGAGGAGAGATGACTGTGGGCCCTGCCTATTGGCCAGGTGCAAGTCGGGTCTTGTTACACAGGATGTGGTCATATTTATGGCGCGCACGTCCCTTGATTGTCATTGGTTAGTTTAAAGAAGTCCTGGGTGTGGCTAGCAGAGTAGCAGAGGCTTGGGCTTCCAGGAAGAAGCCTTTGCCGAGCACATGGCCAAGGTAAGATGGAGGGCGTAGCCCTCGCCCTTTCAGTAAGGTGTAGGGAGAGGGGAAGCATTTGATAGTCCTGTGATTAAGACTTAGTCGTTTAGTGAGCCTTTGCCTCTGGACTGTGAACTTCACAGGTATATCTCAGTTTGGGTTTGGGTTTCTGTGGGGGTTTTTGCCTTTAGGTGAGACAGGATAGCTAGAGTGGCTGGCATTAGGTATTTCCCTCTCTCCATACGGAAGGCTAGAGCCAACTTGAAATGGGTATTTTCCTTTTTGCAGGTCTGTTAGTCTCTAATAGAATGGTTTCTCTTAATGGCAGACCTTGCTGTGCATGTTTCAAAATAGTTCCTTTTCCCTTTCCCTTGCCAGGAACACAAGGGGCTTTTTCTCTTATTCACTGTGGGAACCTGGTAGAAATCCATAGGGTAAAACTCAAGTAAGTTTGGAGGCCCCTTCAATGACCTGCATCTCACTGGAGTTTTGCTTTTTTAAATACACTTTTATTGATTTCAGAGAGGGAGAGGGAGAAGGAGAGGGAGATAGAAACATTAATGACGAGAGAGAACCATTGATAGGCTGCCTCTTGCACACCCCCTACTGGGGATTGAGCCTGCAATCCAAGTATGACCGGAAATCGAACCATGACCTCCTGGTTCATAAATTGACGCTTGCCAGCCTAGGACTTTTAACTCTCGGAGTTGTGTACTCTGAGCTTCCAGCAGTTCATTAATTACAGTTTGATTTTCCCTATCTTGGCACTAGTTCTCTTGGAGATTATGCTCTAAATTGTGATTCTCTGTATTCATCTGTCATTTTCTCCAATTTATAGACAGGAAGAGATAAGGAAGAGAAAATATATTTACAGTGAAAACAATCCGCTTATAAATGAACCTGTGCAGTTCAAAGGTCAACTGTGTTATTAAAGAATTTAATGAGCTATTTTATATTACCAGATGGGCAGATTTTACAAAGACATACATTACTATAAATAGACTCAAAAAGTAATAGAAACTTTGAATATACTTATAAAAGGTAAAGAAATTAATAAGTATATTCTCACAAAGAAAAGTCTAGGCCCAGGTGGCTTTACTGCTAAATGTGTTTCAAACATTTGAGGAAGCATTATTACATATCCTGTGCAAACTCTTTTGGAAAATACAGGAAGAAAGGATACTTATAGCTTATTTTGGGGGGCCAGTGTTACCCTGATACCAGTGCTTGACAACAACATGACAAGGAATGAAAACTACAAATTATCTCCTGTGAACATACATGTAGAAATCATTAACAAAATAACAGCAAACCAGATCCAGTAATATATTAAAAGTATTGGACACTGAACAAGTTGTGGTTATTCTAGAAATGCAAGGAAGTTTAACATCATAAATCAATTTATACAATATATTCTGCTAGTAAAATAATGGACAAAAACCACATGATCTTTTTCAGTAAACATAGAAAAAAATTTGATAAAATTTAAAACTTGTTCATAATGAAATATTTTAGACCTACTAAATTTACAGAAGGAAACTTCCTAACTATCATGAAGGGCATGTACAAAAATTTTATTGCTGTGAGAATTTTATAATTGCCATTTTTTATTTATGTCATTCATTTCTAATACTTTCGTTTATGGTGTTATAGTAAGGTCTTTTTTTTTCTGTTTTGCTATCTGGTTTTTTCATCACTATTTACAGAAAGTACTATCTTTCCCCCCATTGAATTACCTTGATACTTTTGTCAAAAATTAATTGAACACGTATGTGTGGGTCTGATTTTGTTCGGTCCTTTTTCATTGATCTATAAGTTGATCCGATGCTATACTAGCTGGAGTATTCTAGCTTTACATTATGTCTTGATATTTCATAACATAAATATTCCAGTTTTGTTCTTGTTTTCCAAAATTGTTTTAACTGTTTTAGGTTTACATTTTTATGTAAATTTTGGAGTTTTGTCATTTCCCTAAGGCAACTTTTTTATTGCATTTAATATGTACAACAACCCATAAATAGGATATATTTCATTTTATGTGATCATCTTTAATTTCTCTCTGCAGTATTTTGTAATTTTTTAGTTTGTAGTTTTTTAGGGGTCTTGTGCATGTTTTGATAAATTTATGTCTTTTTTTAAAGTTTTTTTAAAAATGTATTTTATTGATATTTTACAGAGAGGAAGGGAGAGAGATAGTTAGAAACATCGATGAGAGAAACATCGATCAGCTGCCTCCTGCACATCTCCCACTGGGGATGTGCCCCAACCAAGGTACATGCCCTTGACTGGAATCGAACCTGGGACCCTTCAGTCCATAGGCCGATGCTCTATCCACTGAGCCAAACCGGTTTCGGCAAATTTATATCTTATATATTGTGTATTCTTACTGTTTTTTAAATGAAATTAAAAGATTTTTTTCCTAATTTCATTGTTGCTAATATACAGTAAAACAATCGATTTTTAGATATTGAACTTATATCCTTTAATCTTGCTAAAGTCACTTCTTTCTTTCTTTCTTTCTTTCTTTCTTTCTTTCTTTCTTTTTTGTTTTCTTTTTGGTGGCCCATACGGGGAACGAACCCGAGTAAAGTCACTTATTTCTTATGACCTTTTTAAAAAATAGAATTCATTGGATGTATTTAATATATAATCAAGTCCTCCACAGTTGAAGCATTTATCCTTTCTTATATAAACTATTATTGCAAGATGCTAAAACTAATAGATGAGAAATTGAGAATAAACTTTATATTAGGTTTATCTAGTTGATACTATCTGAAGCTATATACCAGTTTTAACAGTGTTAAAAAGAAAGGGGCAACCAGACATTATGTAATGTATATGTGATGTGATAAACATTCCACTGGGTCTTTTTTTTTTTTTTTTAATATGTTTTTATTGATTGTAGAGAGACGAAGGGGAGAGAGAGAGAAACATCAATGATAAGAAAGAATCATCGATCAGCTCCCTCCTGCATGCCCCCTACTGGGGGTTGTGCCCACAACCCTGGGCATGTGCCTTGACTGGGAATTGAACCATGACCTCCTCCTGGTTTATAGGTTCACCCTCAACCACTGAGCCACGCTAGCTGGGCTCATCTTGATTTTTATTAGAATTTTGTTATTAACTAATATTTGTATATAACCTTATACTTGGTAGAGAATTGACATGCATGCTGTCACTGCTTTCATTCAGGACCTATTTCCATTCCATCAATAAAATTATATAGTTTTTTATAAGTGACTTATATATTTGTTTATTTGGTATTTTATATTTTGTTTGCATTATTAATAGAGGGTTTTCAAATATTTGGTTTTTAGAATAAATTGCATATATAGTATAATTGCCCATGGTACTTAATTTTTATATATATATTTTAGATTGCCTTTTGTAATTTTATAAGTGCACTCTGCATCATATGTTCACCTATTGTATCATATAATTATTAAATATTTTTTCTGTTCCTTACCTTTCAAAGTATTTAGTTTACTTTTTAAAATTAAAACATCAATTTGTTTCTATATAAATGCTTTCTTTTTTTATTTCATTAGAAATATCCTCCCAGATGAAGAATATAAAAATATAGTTTCTTTTAGAACTAATCCAATTTTAGTTTTTTCCAAAGAGCTAGTCAGTGGCTCCAACACTATTTTTAAATGAATCACCTCTGTTTTTTACTGCATTTCTTTATATAGTCTAATGTGAATATTTTCAAAGCTGTTTATAGCTGTTATCTAAAACTGCTCCCAAAATAATAATTTACTTTTATAAAATACTAGAGGCCTGGTGCACGAATTCGTGCACAGTTGGGGTCTAGCCAGCCAGAGGGGGGGTGCGGGCGTGGGAGGATGGCTGGCTGACTCCACCCCCTGGTTGAACTCTGGTAAAGGGGACAATTTGCATATTACCCTTTCATTATATAGGATTCCATAATTGTGGCTTTAGTCTATATTAGGTGTGTTTTTACTTTTATTCAGCACATATTGATAAATGTTTAAAATTTGAGATTAGGCAGGGAGGGGTGTTCTATAATCAGTTTTAGAGATTAAAGGCAGAAATTTTTAAAGAATTTTCACACTGAACTGTATTGAGGTCAGTTATCTCTTGATTTTAAGAAAATCTTATTAATAAAAGTGATAGGATCAGAATTTCTTGATTAGCATTTAAGGGGCGGGGAGGTTTGGTTGTTTGTTTTCCTATATCGATGTATTTTATTTGTAATCTTTGCTAAAGAAATTGTTTTTCTGTTTTTATAGTTTTGGTAAGCAGTTTGGAGGAAAAAGAGGATGTGATTGTCTTGTATTAGAGCCTTCAGAAATGATTGTGGTAAGAACTTTAAAGAATGCTGAATTGTTTTTTGATGTGCTTCAGTTTCAACTTTAAATGTAGTAGGCTTTTAAATACTCAAGGAGGTTCCATTACTATGACTTTTTAAATATTTTATTAAGTAGCATCAGAACTGTCTACCAAGTTTGATACATTTTTATCTACTTAAATTTTTTTTTGATCCTTGAGAGAATTTGAAATATGATACAATTCTATATAACAGGTTCCAAATTTGGTAATTTCTTTTACCACTTCTACCAGAAATTTTAAATAAATGTTTTAAAAAGTGACCTTTAGATTTCAAGTATTTTCTTTCCTCTTCAATATACTTAAATAATCTTTGAATATCTATGTCTGTGCCCTTAACTTGTAGGAAAGAGAAAGAAATGAAAGACAATTCTTTTTAAGTAAAAAATGGTTTAGATCTTAATATTTTTACTTTAAAAGTGTACTTAAAGAATAATTCTTTACTTTTTTCTAAGAAAGCTGGGTAGTTGATGTAACTTGAGAAAACACTGACTTTCTTTTTTTTTTAAGCATTAGAAAAATCCAGAACACAGCTCCCTTTTACCTTGTTCTGAGATGACCTTACTAGAAAATAGCTTATACTGAATGGGCTCATTGTCCTATTTGCATCTCATGTAGATGATCATGTCATTTGATTTGATTTAAACTGTTGAGAAGTGAGGTTGAATTCTTAATGAAGCATTTTAATGCCAGGGCACTAAAAAAACTAAACCATTTTTCTATTTTATAGGGTTGTAGTCAGATTGACATGTTCAAATAGTTTCTGTTTTCTCTTCCCCAAACTGCATCATCTACATTATCAAGAGTTCAGTGTCCTATATTTTATTTATTTATTTATTTATTATTATTTTTTTTTATTGATCTCAGAGAGGGTAGGAGAGATAGCAACATCAATGATGAGAGAGAATCATTTATCGGCTGCCTCCTGCACACCCTGCACTGGGGATCGAGCCTGTAACCCAGGCATGTGCCCTGACCGGGAATCGAACCATGACCTTCTGGTTCATAGGTTGACACTCAACCACTGAGCTACGCCAGCCGGGCCAGTGTCCTATGTATAATAATAAAAGCATAAAATATGCTAATTAGACCAGACAGCTGAACGACCTTCCGACGTCCTTCCGGACGACCTTCTGGACAAAGCCGTGACTGCGAGGGCCGAGGCAAGCTACAGGGGCTGTGAGGGCTGAACCCCTTGCACGAATTTCGTGTATTGGGCCTCTAGTATTTTATAAAAACAACAGAATTTTAAGATCTTAAAAGGCAAAGATTATGTCTTATTTTGTACTGAAGGCCTGGTGCACGAAATTTGTGCACGGGTACGGTCCCTAGGCCTGGCCTGCAATCAGGGCCATCTTCCCCAGCTGCCCACAGCTGGCCCCGCCCCCCGCCGCCACCCACCAGTTCCCCGTTTGCTATCGGGTGATTGGTGCCTGATGGCCGGGGGAAGAGACCGAGAGGTAAACTGTTCCAGCCCACTTGCCAGCCCCGCCCCCACTGTTGGTGGCCATCAGGCGATCGGAGCCTGCCAGCTGAGGAAAGGGACCAAGAGGTGGTCAGTGCACCTCATAGTGACTGGTCCAGTAGTCGTTCTGGTCGTTCTGCCATTAGGGTCAATTTGCTTATTACCCTTTTATTTATTATATAGGATTATTATATAGGATAGTACTGCCTGCATAATAAGTATTCAGTGAATTGTGCTTGAATTCAAGTTTGTTCAAGGCTTGGACTATGTATTTTATGTTTATTTTCTTTAAGTGTTGTTATAGATGGCATATTATAGCCTCAGAACTACCTTTTTAAAATAAATATATTGAGGAACATGGCAAGAAAACTACCTCAGGCACTTCTTGTTTTCTCATTTGTTTATCAGTTGTTGTACTTCCTCTCCCCCTCCCCCCCATACTTTATGGGGTAAGAGTAGTGCTTTTACTGCAGTGTTTACATTGTTGTGGTACAATACAATTAACATAAAATTTATCAAACTTAACCATTTTTAAGTGTACACTTCATTGTAATTATTAGTTTTCTTTTGAAATTAAAGGGAAAACTTATACTTTCCCCATCCCAAACTTGGAGTTAGCCTTTTCTCTAAGGAGAGAAACTGAGATGTGGCTGCCAGTTGTTTTCATTGCTCTACGTGACTAATTGCTATTAGGGCTTCTCAGGAACAAGAGCTAGAAAATGTCTGAGTGTATGTATACACTATATATATGTGTGTACATATGTCTATATTTGTTTTTTAATCTATAGATCTGTTTAAAACCCAGAGTTTATTTTGTTTTTTCCTTATACATATCTTCTTTCTCTATCAGTGAGAAACTTGTTTTTCAGTATATTTACTTACACATAAGGCAGTTTAAGAATAGCTTGTTCAGCCCTGGTTGGTGTTGTTTAGTGGGTAGAGCATTGGCCCATGCGCCAAAGGGTCTTGGGTTCAATTTCTGGTGAAGGGCACATAGCTGGGTTGCAGGTTTGATCCCTGGCCCCAGTCAGGACATGTGAGGAAGGCAACCAATAGATGTGTCTCTCACATCAACATTTCTCTCTCCCTCCTCCCTTCCTCCCTCCCTTCTACTCTCTCAATGGAAAAAAATGTCCTCGGGTGAGGATTACAAAAAAATAAGAAGACTTGCTTGCCTGCAACATTGTAGAAAGCACTATTAGCTAGAGTATTAACATACACATCTAATCTTCTAATCTAATAAAAGAAAAACAGGGAGGGAGGGAGGGAGGGGGAGGGGGGGAAAGAGAAACATGCAAATTGACCATACCTTCGCTACGCCCCAAGCCACGCCCACCAGCCAATGAGAGCGACTATATGCAAATTAACCCAACCAAGATGGCGGCCGGCAGCCACAGAGCTGGAGCAAGCAGGAGTCTTGGTTGCCCCGGTGATGGAGGAAGCCAAGCTTCCCACCTGCCCTGGCCGGCGGTGGCCTCCGCTAAAGGCAACAAAGTTTCAATTATAGAGGATAAGTAAATCCCAGATACCTGCTTCCAGCCAGCCTCCACTGGAAGCTTGGGTGGCTGGGGGCTGTGGCCAGCCTGCAAACAGCCATCAGCCCCTCACCCAGACTGGCCAGGCACCCCAGCGGGGACCCCCACCCTGAAGGGGCTATGGCCAGCCTGCAAACAGCCATCAGCCCCTCACCCAGACTGGCCAGGCACCCCAGCGGGACCCCCACCCTGATCCGGGACACCCTTCAGGGCAAACCAGCCAGCCCCCACCCATGCACCAGGCATATAATAAAAGGGTAATATGCAAATTGACCCTAACAGCAGAACGACTGGGAATGACTGGTCACTATGACACACACTGACCACCAGGGGGCAGATGCTCAATTCAGGAGCAGCCCCCTGGTGGTCAGTGCGCTCCCACAGGGGGATCTCTGCTCATCCACAAGCCAGACTAACGGCTGCCAGCACAGCATTGATGGCAGGAGCCTCTCCCGCCTCCTCAGCAGCACTAAGGACTTCCGACTGCAGCTTAGGCCTGCTCCCTGCTGGCAAGTGGACATCACCCGAGGGCTCCTGGGCTGCCAGAGGGATGTCTGACTGCCAGCTTAGGCCCAATCCCCCGGGGAGCAGACCTAAGCCAGCAGGTGGATATCCCCCGAGGGGTCCCAGACTGTGAGAGGGCACAGGCCAGACTGAGGGACCCCTCGAGTGCACAAATTTTTGTGCACCGAGCCTTTAGTCCTATATAATAATCCTATTTACATAAAAGCCTAAGTGACCATTGCAACTGAACGGACAACCAAACAGGCTGCGTGGAGTAACCAGGCCGGCAGGGGGGTTAGTGAGAGCCTACCAAACGATTGAGCAGCAAGGCTGCGTGGGGCAACCAGGCTGGCAGACGGGTTAGGAGGGACGACCAAATGATTGAGCAGCGGGCAGCATGGGGTGACCAGGCTGGCAGACGGGTTAGTGAGGGACGACCAAACGACTGAGCAACGGGCAGCGGCAGCGTGGGGTGACCAGGCCAGCAGGGAGCTTAGTGAGGGACAACCAAACGACTGAACAAGCAGGCTGTGTGGGGCGACCAGGCCGGCTGGGGGGCATTGAAGGGCAACGAAATGACCAAATAGCAGGCTGCATGGGGCCACCAGACCCAGCAGGGGGGGGCAGTTAGGGGTAACCAGGCCGGGCAGGGGGTGGGGTAGTGAGTGGCAACCAGGTTAGCAAGAGGGGACAGTGA